CAGTTCCTATCTGTGAGCCTGTAAATCTTGACAGGAGTAGAAAGCTTCATCTTTCTCCCTCAGCGAGGCTGGTGGTTTTGAACTGGGTTACTTGACCACGAAGTAACCCAGGACACTAGCAGGCTCCACAGTAGTACCTCATTGTTTTGATTTGCATCTTTTCATGTGCTTCGCGGCCATCTGAATATCCTTTTGAGTGAAAGGTCCATTTTATGATTGGGCTGATTGTCCTTGTAGTTACGCTGTCAAAGTTTCATATGTATTTTGGCTATTAGATTTTTTTTTTTAAATCATTTTATTAGGGACGGCTATTAGATTCTTGTCAGGAAAAAAGATTCTTGTCAGATACATAGTTTGGAAAGATACTTTCCCAGGTGATAACTTGTCTTTTCACATTTCTTTGGTCAACTTTTTTAATGAACTAAAGCTTTTACTTTTTATGACGTCTCATTTTTAAAAATCATTTTATTGGGGGCGTGTACAGCTCTTAGCACAATCCGTACGTCCATCCATGTGTCAAGCACATTTGTTCGTTTGTTGCCCTCCTCATTCTCAGAGAAGCCCCATGTTACTGTGCCTTTGCTCGCACCGAGTCCACGTCCGCCTGGTGGGGTCTCTGCCTTCGTTCTCCCTTAGGTAACCGCTGTTGCCAGCTAGGCCTCTGCTTGTTCTCCTAACAATTCCATAGATTCTTGCTGGCACATTGCGGTCCTTAATCGTTCTCTTGGCGTTTTGAATTTCTTTTTGCGTATGGAGTGATTGATGGATCCTGTTTCATTTTCCTACGTGTGACAATCCAGTTCTCTACGCATGGTTTATGAAGAAGCATTACCCTCCCCCCACCAACAGAAAAAGAGCCCCCTTATCAAAAATCAGTGAACATAGATGTGTGGATTTGTATCTGTACTCTCAGTCCTATCCCGTTGCTCTTCTTTCCCCTTGGTCTTTCTGCCTCTCCTGACACCAGGATCCTGGCTCTTGATTCCTGGAGCCACATGGTGGTGGTGGTAGCCAGAGCACCTGGCTCTTGATTCCTGGAGCCACATGGTGGTGGTGGTAACCAGAACACCTGGCTCTTGATTCCTGGAGCTACACGAGCGAGTGCCACCCAGTTGGTTCAGCCCGCAGCGACCAGCCACCCTGTGGGAGAGAGACTGGGCTCTCTACTCCCACAGAGAGCTACGGTTTCGGAAACGCATGGGACTAAAGCCCTGGCCTTTAGGGTCGCTGTTAGTTGGCATCAGCTCGGTGGGGTTTTCTGAGAAGCTCTTCACGTTCTGGGCCTTTCGTTTTCTTGGAGGCTACTGTAAGTGCAAGTGCCTCCCTAACGTCCATTTTGGGGTAGAGAAACCCTCCCTAACCCTCCCAAGTGCCTCCTTAATGTCTCAGTGACGGGGCAGAGGAACCCGGTGGGTTTTCTGTGTTCACTTTGTGCACCTTTTGAGTGGCGTGGGCACTGGTTTGTAATGTCCTTCAAACCCTCAGTGTCCTTGGTGGTCTTTGCAAGATCCTCCGTCCAGGGTGGAACGTGGCGTGTTGAAGGCTCCTGTGATGATTGTCGGATGCTGCTTGCTGCAGGCCCGCCAGTGCTTGCTGTACACACCTCGGTGGCCAGATATGAGCGTGGATGGAAGGAAGGGCTTAGAGCAATGTGTGGGAAAATGGAAGGAATTTTCCCATGGACTTGTGGAAGTCCCAGCGGGTTTGTGATCGTCAAATCTGCTTGGTCAACTCTTTGGTCACACTGCGAGGCCATCTCTAGCTCGGGTCATGGACTGGGCCTCATAACTGACTTTGTCTGAGAGGCTCGTTGCTGCCCCGCTCTTTTATTTGGTTGTTATTCACGTGATTATTTCTTTTCCATCCTTTCACGTTCGACCTGTTCAGATCCTTGGATCTATGTGTGTCCCTGATAAACAGTGTGCATTCGATCATGTTTCTTTATCCATCTGACACTCTGCCATGTGGTCTTGGTTGAAACTTTGGGGGCGCTGAAGCAGTGGGTTCTAATGAACAGGGAAGCCCGGGGAGGCCCCTAACCCTAATGCAGGCTGGGGGTGGCATGTGGGTGGACCTAGGTGCAAGCGTGGACATGTCCACAGCTGGATGGCTGAGGCTGGCCTGTCCTTCTGGGTTCCCGACAGGCTGTGGGTGAGGGTGGAGGACGCGCAGACGCACACCGTCACCATCTGGCTCACAGTGCGCCCTGACATGACGGTGGCTTCCCTCAAGGACATGGTGAGTGGGGAGACGTCAGGAGGCCGGTGGGAGGCTTGTCCTGGTGTTTCCCACCATGCCCTGGCCTCCCGCTCCCAGCCGTCCTCACTTGGTGTCGTCTGTTAGGTATTCCTGGACTATGGCTTCCCACGATCTCTGCAGAGGTGGGTGATTGGGCAGCGGCTGACCAGAGACCAGGAAACGCTGCACTCTCACGGGGTGCGGCGGGATGGGGACAGCGCCTACCTCTATCTGCTGTCAGCCTCCAACACCTCACTCAATCCCCAGGAGCTGCAGCGGGAGCGGCAGTTGCGGATGCTGGAAGGTTTGTGTCCAAGCACACCCCTTTCCTGCTACCACCGCCCAGGGCTCACCTGAGGTCAGCGGGCAAGAGGGGACAAAGCCATGGGCTGGTTGTCAGGACCTTACCCAGAAGACCTTATCCAGACTGGGGAAGAGGAGACATAAGGCTCCCCGGGAAGGAGTCGGTTCAGGGCTGAGGGGCTGAGATCAAGCGTGGCTCCGGCATCCACCAGCCGCGTGTGGGGCTTTGGGCAAGTCTCTTCCCGGGTCTGCGCCTCAGAGCTGTGGGGATGATGAGGAGAACCGCGCTGACATTTCAGAGTTTACTTTGAAACGTTCAGACTTACAGAAGAGTTGCAGAATTAAACCAGGGGTTCCCTTCATCCAGAGTCCCCAAATCTTAGCATTTTACCTGACTTACTGTCTGCCCTTCTCGCTCGAGACGTACAGTCTTTTTTTTTTTTTTCCCTAATCATTTTATTAGGGGCTCATACAACTCCCACCACAATCCATACATACATCAATTGTGTAAAGCGCATTTGTACATCCATTGTCCTCATCATTCTCAAAACATTTCCTCTCCACTTAAGTCCCAGGCATTAGGCCCTCATTTTCACCCTCCCTCCCCGCTCCCCCTCCCTCATGAGCCCTTGATAATTTAGAAATTATTATTTTGTCGTATCTTGCCCTGTCCGACGTCTCCCTTCACCCACTTTTCTGTTGTCCGTCCCCCAGGGAGGAGGTCACATATAGTTCCATGTAATCGGTTCCCGACGTACAGTCTTTTGAGAGTAACGTCTATGCATGAGACCTCACTCTCCGAAATACCTCAGCATGTGCCCCCTATTAAAAACGTCTAATCCAAGACATGAACCTGGATCTGAATCTGCAAAGCGGATCCGGTTACTCTTGTCTCACAAATTCCCTTGGTGGCAGAGGCCTGGCATGCAGCTCCAGTCTGGCCGCCTTCCACCTCTGGCCCCTCACGCTTCCCTGGACGTGGTAGTTTGGGCCCGTGGTGGGCCAGGCAGCTCCTAGCTCCTGCCCTCCCTCGCTCGTGTGGACCGGCCACAGTCTGGAATTGGTGGGGGTTTCCTCTTGAGTGGGTTCAGACTCCGTATCTGGGCTGAGCCAGTTTCTGGGCAGGATCTTGATGTACATGGGTGCCCATAGATGGAGCAGGGATCCTGACCCTTGGGAGTCAGGGCACCCAGCAGGCACCGATGGGCTCTCCAAGGAGGACAGTGTGGGAGCTGGGGTCAGTGAGGTGTGGGCCTGGCCCAGTGAGCTGGTGGTGGCCCACACATGGGTCCTCCAGCCCCTGACGTCTATGCAGATCTGGGCTTCAAGGATCTCACACTGCAGTCTAGGGGACCCCTGGAGCCTGCTGATTCAAAGTCCGGAGCACCCCAGGAACCGGGGCGGGGGCAACCAGAAGCCACATCTGAGCCCCCACCCGTAAGTCCCCTCCATTGGCTTGAAGCCCTGTTTTTCCCTCCCTGCCTTCTCTACCCTCCCCACATGCCGCCCTGCCCACCCCCCAACCCTGCAGGGCCCCTGCCCTCACAGCTGTCCTGCCCCCCCAGGTGGGCTGGCAGTGCCCTGGGTGCACCTTCATCAACAAGCCTACGAGGCCTGGCTGTGAGATGTGCTGTCGGGCGCGGCCAGAGACCTACCAGGTGCCCGCCTCCCACCAGCCTGATGAGGGCGAGCGGGCACGCCTGGCCAGCGAGGAGGAGGCACTGCGCCGGTACCAGCAGGTGAGTGTACCCCACCCCGCCCCACCCCATGGCATCTTCCTCTGCTGGCCTTCAAATGTCCCCAGCTGTGACCCTACCTCCCCCAGTCCTCCTGCGGCTGGTTCCTATGCCACCCTCAGTCACCTGTCACCTGACTTCCCCTGTGACCCATGGCTTCCTGGAGGGTTGACCCCACTTCCTGCCCTACTCCCCAGTTGTCCTGCCCCACATTGTGATGCACCCAATCGCAACACAGCTATCAACACACATTCTAAACCCTGAGTGTCCCCCCATTCTCATCTCATGCCCCCATCCTGGCTGCATTCCCCTTGGACTTGGCCCTGCCCCCCTCTCTGGCCAGGACCCCACTTCTGATTTCTGACCTCTGTCACCCTGACATGGCCCTGGCCCTGGCCCCTGGCTCCAGCCTCTTTCCCCCCTACCTCCCCACCAGGGCCCTGGCCTTCTTTCCCTACCTCCATCCTTCTGACCTCTGACCTGAGGGCTGCAGCCTCCTTATCCAGCCCAGCTGCTCCTCCTGGGGTCCCTTGTTTGCCCCATCCCCGGGTCTGACCTGCCCCATGACCCCCCGGCCCCACCCCCTGTGCCCAGCGGAAGCAGCAGCAGCAGGAGGGGAACTACCTGCAGCACGTCCAGCTGGACCAGAGGAGCCTGGTGCTGAACACCGAGCCCGCCGAGTGCCCCGTGTGCTACTCTGCGCTGGGGCCCGGTGAGGCCGTGGTGCTGCGCGAGTGTCTGCACACCTTCTGCAGGTGCGGCCTAGCCCCTCCCGTCCCCGGAGGGGGCGGACGGACCAGGCGGCCATGGTGAGGGGTTGGCAGGCAGGAAGGGGGAGTTGCCAGAGCAGCCCACCGCTAGTGGCTGAGAAGGCCACGGGTTCAGGCATTACTGTGCAGGGGGCAGGCTGGGCTGTGCTAACTCCGTCTCCCACCCCTCCCCAGGGAGTGCCTGCAGGGCACCATCCGCAACAGCCCGGAGGCGGAGGTCTCCTGCCCCTTCATTGATAACACCTACTCTTGCTCGGGCAAGCTGCTGGAGAGGGAGATTCGGGCGGTAAGGCCTGGCCCTAGGGGTGAGTGGGGATGTCCCTGGCCCAGGGCATGGGGCCCTGAGTGGGCAGACAGGACCTGGCTGGAGAGCTGACCCCAGGCAGCAACAGTCTTGAGAACCTTCTCTGTGGGGTGGTGGGGGGACCCAGAGAATGAACAGGCCAGCAAGTGGAGGATGCTGGGAATAAGAGACACCCCTGCCATGAAGGAGGGGAGGGAGGGGCAGCAGAGGGCCTGGGAGCAGGCGCTTCTGGGGTCAGATGGCCTGGTGTGTGACTTCCGCCTCTCTGCCTGTCTTTTCTCATCTTGGTTTAGGGTCAGACAGAGTTTGTTTGGGTTCTCTTTCCCGGTTGCCAATATTTGCTGAGCGAATCCCTGTACAGCATTTGCAGAGTTGTGTTGGACACCCCGTGTAAACCGATATAGCCGTGGGCGCTGGCTGTGTCACAAACTGCCACAAATTCAGTGGCTTCCAAGCAAATGGCCACTGCTGAGCTCGTGGTTCTGTGGTTTGGGTTGGGCTTAACTGGATGGTTCTGACCCGCTCTGGCTGACTGCTCTGGGCGCAGCGGAGGCATCTGCTGGCACCAGCTGGCTGGTGGGGGCGCGGGCTGCAATGGGCCTCTCTTCATGGGTCTAGTCCACCGGCAGGCTGTCCAGGGCCTGCACTCCTGTGGACGCCTTTCTGTTCCAGGAGCAGCAAGGGGGTGCGGGCACCCCAGGGCACACGCACTTGTCTCATGACTGCTGCTGGCCATCTTGCTGTGTGCCAAAGCAAGTCACAGGTTCAAACTCGGCTGCTGTGTGGGAGGGGACCACCCAAGGGCTTGGGGTGGGCAAGCATGACTGCAATGGTCTGCCACAGTGCTGTGTATGTGTGTGTGTGTGTGTGCATGTGGGTGCTCGCGCATGCGCCCTTGCTCTTATTGACGCTACCGCTGTCGTGCTGACTGTTGTCGTTAGTACCGTGTTCTCTTAGGCAGCCCTTGCCCTTCTGTCCCTAGAAGTTGGACTGCTGCCTTTGATTCATGGTTTTTATTTTCGCTCGTTGTGGAGATTACGCCAGCCAAACCCACGCTGGTCCCAGTGCTCACAGGGACACCCCTGCCATCGGCTCACGGTGAAGGCACTGCAGGACACAGAGTAGAACTGCCCCGTGCGCCCCCCCCC